GCCCATCTTGACCTCAGCCTCCTTTACTCCATATTGCTTTTCAATACACAACTTCATAATTCAGAAAATGAACAGTTTTCTTCAAAAGGGTCAAATTTATTAAGGACAAATATCCACACAAGCACAACATCTCTCCAAAGGCAACATCTCTGCAGGACATGCTGCAGATGTGTTTGCTGCCCACGAGTGCCATCATTTGTTGCCCACAAGTGGCCCAGGAGACTTCTCCCTGCTTTCTCCCAAATCCTTCCACATCTACCCCATCGCACTGAGACCAACTACGTAACGAAGGGCAACATCCACAAGTTGTGGCCACATAGGGAAAGCTTTCCTATGAGCAAGGTGGTGCAGTGCTGAAAGGGGTCACCTGGAGAGCTGGGAACTTCTCTATCCCTGCAGGTGCTGGACACCATCCTTCTGTACTGGTGGCATTAGAGACCTCCATGGTTCCTCCCAGCCAGCATTTTGTGGGCTCTCTCTCAGGTCCTGTTGTGTTGTAGGAGACACCAATGGCCTGGCTGCTCTCTGGGACTTACCTGCCCTCCCCTGGAGCTTCACTCCTCTAGATTCACCCCTGCCAAGTCCTCATAGTAGACCATGATGATCTCCCTCAACTCCCCTTGTTACATCCTCAAGCCTCCCAGGAAACTCATTGCACACCCTGGGGAGACATCAAGGTCAGGGCAGCTCTCTGCATGGTGAGGAAGGTAAAGGCACGGTGGGGGTGGGGGGTGGGAGGGAAGAGAAGATACTCAAGATAAAAATACAGACAATACAAAATACAAACCACCTCTGAGAGCAGCTTTTTTATGCATGTGAGTTAACCATCCATAGACACCGTTAACTCTAGGAGGAAGCAGCAGAACCAAACAACCCATTGATGCAAAACCTAAAAAAAAAAAAAAAGGACCAGAAAACACCTGGTTCAATTAAATATATTCAGTCTGCTACTTGATGCCCTCCACGCACACAGGAGAGCCACAGAATCGCACAGTCACTGAATGGGTAAGGCTGGAAGGGACCACACGGCCACACACACCATGCAATTTGCAAAGGAGAGTGTACAGATCAGCACTAAGGCCGTGCTGTCTCCAGGCAGACATGTGTCACCACTGAATGTGGCAAGTCGCCGGCTGACCCAGACAACTCTGGGAGCTGCTGATGAGGAGCAGCTGAATCCTGAAGAGGAGAATGCAAGGAGCTGAGGGAAGGCCAGACTGAATAATGTCACCATTCATTTTTTTTTTACAGGTTTATAACAATGGCTCTGTGAGGATATAATGCCTCAAAACCTTTGATCAAACGCCTGAGTGCCCACGCAGGCAAGAATGGAGCCTGTAGAAAGCACGGGGCTGTTCAGCCTGATGCTCCCTCCCCACCTCCCCATCCAGGCATCCTTGTACACACTCATCACCCCATGAAGCCACTTTAAAGAAGCAAAAATGTCTGAAACAGGAGACAGCTTAAACAGATTTTTATCACCACATCCTGCACATACCAAGTGAAATCAGAAAGGCGGAGGTGCAGTCCACAAAATAAATAAGCCCTTAACCCTCACAGTGAAAGAGTCGGCATCTTGGCTGGGGAGGGGCTGGGTGGGGAGTGGCATCTGAGGAAGAGCTCATTCACAGCGGGAAGATCAGCGAAACTATCAATGAAACAAAGCAGGTCACATCGCGCCGCAGGAGAGCAGAGGTGAGAGGTGGGAGGAGCCCGGCCATCTGCGGCTACAGCTGCGATGGGACACATGCTAAGGTCCAAATCACAGCAAAAAAAAATTAACTTCATTAAAAGCTCTGGTCGGATGTAAGCCCTGGCTGGGTGTTTTTACACTCCTCTGCAGCAGAATCAGGGCAGGACAGGCAGAGCGATACCATCGCACTCAGCATCGTCAGGCTGGCCATGAAGGGTCGTGAATCCAGTTCCAAGATAAGGGATTGTCACCGCTTAAACACCTACCCCTTGAGCTGCAGCAATCGGTTGGATTTACGTATTGCTATTGCACCAAGCATGAGGACTAGCACAGCCTAAAAGCCCTTCCAGGTGTGTTTTAACTAACCAGTCTAATGTGCTACCTGTTAGGGCAGCAACTCAGCAAGCTTTGCTCACCAGTGCTCCTCACATTGCCTTCATCAAAGACGGTTTTAAGCTGCTATACACACACCTATACGTGGGATCAGCACTGATTTAGCTGGGCTACTGCAAAACCTGGCGGAAGCAGGGACCTCACAAGTGCCAGAGGACTCAGCTGGACACCCAGACAGCATCGACACAGTGCACCCCTTCCTGTCCTGTGTCTCCTGGCCTCTGGGCTCTGCCTCTTTTGCCTCTTTGCAAGGTCCTCAGGTTTGACAAAGTTATCTTGTCCTGTTTGGCCGAATTGCTTTTTCTCAAGGTTGATCAACTTGTGTCATGCAAATTACGCAGGGAGGAGGTAAACCAAAAAAGGGGCATTCAGATGGTTCCTTTTATGTTTCGCAGATCATTTGCATCCGTATTCTCTGCCTTTAGGGCAACTCTCAGTTGACTGAACACCTGCTTTTAGCTGCTGGGAAGCACATAACAAACCTTCTTCTCCACCCACCCTCAATTCACACCCCTTCCAAGTATTTAACTGGTGTCACTTGCAAAACTCTCTTCAGGCAGGCTACTGGTTTCATCTTGGTCAAGACTGAAATGGCCATATTCTTCTGCTTGCCATGTCCCAGAATCCCAAAGCATCCCAGGAAACCAAACTGAAGGAAAGCAGAGAGCCTTACACCAGGTCATGGGCTTGGTGGCTTCCCATCTCTGAGCCCTGAATGTTCTCACTGACATCCAATTTGTCAGCCCAGCACAAAGATGCTTCAAAATAAGGAGTGATGGAAAATTAAAGACAAATGGAGTGAACTTCATTGTGGAAAAGCCAGACAGACATCCAGCAGCCAGGTAAAATTGAGGCTCTTCCCTAGAAACCACTGATACTGCAAAAAGCACCCATCCTGCTCAGCCCTGGGATTTCCTGATACATAGCTCATCCTTAACATTAATTCTCACTGCAACTCCAAAGAATCAGTTTATTCCTGTGATGCCTTAGAATCCATATTTGCTACAAATCTTAAGAATTTGCTCTCTGGACAGAGAATTGAGGCACGGCCTGAGAGTAAAGAGACCAGCAGCAGAAGCAAGCATTAAACCCAAGGGTACCATGAGTCCCTGCAACATCTTCTGGTCCCCAAGGTGGACAGATGGAAGGCACAAGATGCATCTGTCCCCCACATGCACTTGTCTGGGGCTCAGGTAAAGGGCAGTGACCACACAATTTCACTGCCACAGTGTTTCTCTTGCTGTAAAAGGAAAAATTCCTCCCTTCAGGGCAATGAAAATACTCCAATGTCTAGTAATATATAAAATCTAACAGTAAATTACAGAAGAAACTCTAAATATACAAGAACAACACACACACGTTCCCTTTGCCCACTTAACAAGAGAGATGTACTACTGTAAATTATATTTCTTCCTTGACTTAAAGCGACAATCTTGACAATGGACCATCAACACCAATCCCTCTTTCTGAACAGGCTGCCCTCTGAAAACATATTGAAGGCATTAGCAGAAGCAAAAGAATACCTAAAATCTTCCAGAGTTGCCTCTGCTTAGGTACAACAGCTTGTACCTCTAAATCTCAATGAGTGTGGATATTTATCCTCACTGTAGTACAAACTAGCCAGTGCAGGATGAGCACTCTGCAAACACAATCGGAAAACAATGTTTTCATTCCTCAAAAAAACCAGGACATGAGGCAGGAGGAGGTGGCCCAGCAAAGGCAGGTAGGTAGGTATCTGTGGGGGGATTTCCCCTGGTTGGAAGATGTAGTGATGTGCACAAAAGCTCTGGAGAGAGTTTCTAATCAAGAGAGACCTGACATGCAGGTCCCAGTTCTTCACGGTACACCACCTGCGGGCTGCTGCACCTTAGCTGAGTTACCAGGATGTGGATACTCCCGCTACAGGTGTCAGGCTCCGACTGGGAGATGGCAAGTATTGTTCCAAACCTTCCTGTGGCTGAAAAGCCACAAGCCACATCACTCAAAAAGCCAGAGACCAGAGCAGCTCCAGGGCTGGTTCCCAGGAGGTTCTAGTGCAGCCCAAGCAGCCTCACTCGGTCTTAGTGCAGCAGCTCCTGGGGCTAGAATCATTTCCTGAGGCTGGAATCATCTTTCTGGTTCCCACTGGGACTGCAACGGCCACTGTGAGATGACCCAGTTGGACTGAAACCTCCTCGGCAATCATACCCTATCCTTCAGGAATGTACTTATGCTGCCAGTCAGGGTGTATAAACGCTGAGAGCAGGCTCAGACAAGTGGCTCACAGATTTAAGCTGTGTCCAAACCTTGAAGAAAATTTAAGGGCAGCTTAGGAGAGGCCAAGCTTTTATGCAGTGGGTTTGGACACCCCAAGCCACAAGCAAGCACCTTGAACTCCAGTCCTCCCACACAGGGTACAGACATGACACATGACTTGCAGACCCTGCATCCAAACAAGCTGTCTTGGCTATGCTGACAGTGCAGAGAAACAGGTACTGTAGGGAATGATTCATCCCATTCAGATGCCTACAGCAGGTCAGGGTCAGGCACTTCCTAAAAATATCCATTTCCCCCCAGCGACTGTAAAAGGAGGCTGAAGGGGGTCTGGATCAATAGTGAGTAATGGCAGGAGAGCTCTCTAAATCTAGAGGGGCAAAGTCCCCTGCTGTGAAGCCCAAATACAGCCAGAAACAAGGTCTGTGTGATGCACAGACCTCAACATATTCCAGATAGTCTCCAGCCCTTCTGAAATTCCAAGCACATCAGCAGCCTACGATCCTCTTGTCTGCCCTGAAGAGGAAAAATACAGGGAAACCTGTACCAGAAGTGAAATCTGGAGGATCACTAGAAGAGGTCTCACCCAAAGGGTGCAGGGAAGATCAGGGGAGGGCTTGTATCTCCAGGTTTATGAGTGCTGAAAGACATCACCACTCACCTCATTTCCCAGGAAACCCTGGCAGGATCTGACCCCCCTTCCACTCGCTCCTCCCTTCTCCTTTTTGCAGTCAACCGAGACCTATATGACATTGCAACAAAAGAAATGTCAGCAAGCCCAACTTTGTCCCTTCCCTCCAACCAAAAAGCGTCAGCTTTCTTAGTTTTTCAATATGAAGTTGTACTGGAAAGCAATTATATACAAATTTCATTTTATATATCTATTTAAATATTTATATATCTATTTAATATATATTACCTTTTTAAATATATATATACATATATAAATTGCAGCTGCAAAAGGACATGCATCAGTGATAGAGCCCCTACAACCTGTCCCATGTTAGACACCCATGATGACCCAGAAATGTGACACTGAAATGAGCATGATGAGGTTCTCCTGAGTGTCCACCATCAGCTCTAAAGCAATCCCTTAAACACTTCTAAGGAGTAATGGGAGGAGATACAGCCAAGAATGCCAGGGAGCCTGGGATGATGAAGAAATGTCCTTGTGGCGCACGCCTGGGGCTGGCCCAGAGCTATGAGGAAAAGGGATAGAGGCAGTGGGTTCCTGCTCCATGACCCAGAGCATCCTGCCATCATCATGGAGAGGCTGTGGGTTTTTCCTCGTGGTGACCTCCAGACACTGCTGACACCCACCCCATAGTACAGCCCGAGGATCACACAGGACAGCCAGACAGACATCAGGCTGTTGTTCAGGTCCCCAGCACTCTGATGGGTAGTGGGCTTTGCAGATTGTTTTCTCCCACCATCTAGGTCCCCATTTTCTTCTCAGGCCACAGAGCCCTCATCAGTACAGCCATAAATCACACATCCATATAGCAAACAGCTATACATCCCCCATTAGTACATCCCACAGCCTGCTGGCAGCATGAGCTTGAGGCAGAGCAGGGAAGGGGACCTTTATTACCATCAGAATCGCCTCATCACTCAGCCTACTTAACCCAGCCACATTTGCACTGCTAAATTTGGGAGAGTATGAGAAGCATTCCCTCATAAGAGGAGGTGGGGGAGGGACAAGCAGGCTACTGGCCTCCTTTAACTCCCTGCCAAGTATTCTGTAATTCAAAGTCCATGTCAGGGAAGCCACCCCAGGCTACACAGCAATGGCCCAGACCCAGCAAACCCAGAGATCTGTTGCCTTAACCCTTTCATTTCAAGAAAATGATATTCAGGCTTTAGGAAATAACTCCCACTGAAATAATGGGTTTCCAGGAGGTATGTGGGGGGAATTCTGGGCATGAAAGGAGGGGCTCAACTTCAGACAGCCAAGTTTGAAGACCCTGCCCTGAAGGAATGCAGTGCTCAGCCTGGTACCTGCTAGCAGCAATCCTTACCTTCAAACTGATTTAAGAAGCTGTGAATGACTATTTTTAGAGTGCAAAATAGATGAAGACTCAGGAAAGACAGCATCAATACCTGCAGCAAGAAGGGGTCACCACCCCTGTCAGCACCTAGAAGCATTACCCTGACCTGCAGCACAGGACACAAAAACAGTTATCACCAGGCTTTGCTTCTGAGCTTGTAGAAGCAAATTAAACCTCTCTCCTTGTTGCTGGCAGGTACAGGAAGGAAATGCATGTTACAGAAACCTTTCTGGGCTCGCTTTTCATAACCACCATCAGCACCTGCCCTCTCCTGCAGATGCCCAAAGAAATCTGCCCCTGGAAACCCAACCTGTGGAACATCTTGGGGGGGGGGGTGTGCTGATCACACCCAACAAATAAACACTTTAGTTAAACCCAGAGGGTGCCAAGCGTGGTGGTGTGTGTGGTGAGCCTGAAATCTTCCCCAGCACCCACACTGAGACATTCGAGGGAGCTTTTGAGGAATCCAGGCATGAGCCTGGTTTAAGTGGCCGTGGAGCTACAGCTGCTCCCCTGAGACCTTTCCCAAGCAATTCACACACACCCCAAAAAAAAACCTAGGCTTGTTTTCAGTAAAAGTGGGCATCAAACGTTCTGACATAAGAAGGATGATTAAAGACAGCTGAGTTGCAGGAAAGATTAAAAGAACTAAATATGCCCAACCTGGCTAAGCAATGAGTAAGAGGAGACGTGATAAAAGACTCCAGGCATTTGAATGAAGGGAGTGGCATGGCATTAAAGGACTGAATAAAATATCTTTCTGAGAAATGGATCCATCAACGATCTCTCAAGAGATAAGGTACAAGCCTCATTTTTTAGGCATTTATAAAACCAGAACTGAGGTTTTTGAGGAGAAATCCACATTGCCCCAAAGGGAGCATGCACCAAAGCTTTTCATCTCCAGCATGGGGTGCTGCGAGCAAGTCCATGAGGGAATACAGGAAACTTGGGAAGGGGCAAGGGTTTCATACCACCTCACCTGAGAAACAGATGTGCTTTTTCACTGTGAAATTTTAAAAAATATATATTTGATTTTCACTCATTTTTGATTCAGCAGCCCTAATCCATAATGTTTCAGGTCTAGAGAAAAAAAAAGGAAAAAAAAAAGAAGAAGATAACCACCAATCAATTTAAAACAAACAGGTCTGGGGATCTTACAAGTAATAGACTCTCTTTTCCCCAATAATTAAAGTTTCATGGCATGGTATCAAGGAAGCAAGAGCCTGGATAGAGGCGAGCAGTGGTGCTCCTGGTGGCTGCCACCCTTGCAGCTCTCTGGACAAAGCCAGACCCAGCATACTCATGGGCAAGGTGACAAAATCTGGAAAGTTTTTCAATACCTGGGTCTGCTGAGATGATACCCCTCAGTGAAAGTACCTTCTGACCCTCTGAAACACAGGGACCTGATGCACTTTATGAAGATCAGAAGTGAGCCCTAAGGCCTGAGAAAACCACCCAGGAGGAGAGATAAACCTGTTATGCTGGCTTTGCCCCAAAAAGCCATGTAATGCACATACCTACCTAAATATCAACTCTGTGAAGCCAAAGCAGTGGATTCTGTGTAATTTCACATGATGTCCACCCATTTAAGGGCCTCCTGAACATCAGCACAGACAGAGGGGTGCACCCAAGGGAAGGAGCTTGACCTGGCCAAAACTGTTTATTGAATACAGACATATGCATGGTGAGGTTTCTACCAGCATCAGCTTATCAGTTCATCTGATGTGCCTGGGGGTTGCAGTTAATCCCCCAATGTTCTTTCAGGTGCTTCTGCCTCCATATTGTTGATCCAACTCAGCCACCTGATATGATTTACAAAGCTCAGTGGTATCCCAGATTTGGGTACCTGGGAGACTCCTTCATCCTCAGCTGGAAAAAGCCAGCTGTCAATGGTTTAATTGCAAATCACAGTTAAATTCACACAATGGCCATGTATACTGTCCCAGCTGCCCCTGGCTCCCCCAAGCTGGTGAGCCTTCTAAGAGGAAACTAGGCAGGAAAAAAACACAAAAGGTGAGCAATTTTCTTCTAATTAATTCCCTAAACCAGTTCAGTGGGGCTCAGGCAAGTACTAGAAGTCTTTCTCCTTTTGGCATGACCGAGATCAGCTGAACTGCAACACGTGACCTCAATCCAAGGCAACCTTTGTTCCCAAGACTAAGAGAGTGGATCTTTTTAATTTTATTTTTTCCCCTTTCCCACAGCAACCTCTTAAGTCTGCAACTGCCCTTCTCCATAGGAACAGGAGATCCACCGTTAACTGACCAGTGAGTTTTATTGCAGAGCTGAAACAGGATGTTCACAGAGGATTTTATCGTATTTTTTTTAATAAGTGGAGCATTTTAGTAGGCAGCGAATCTTCTTGCTTTATGCTTGCTTGTCTCTTTGGGAGGCTGAAGTACAAAACCAGGCTGCCAGGTTCATTTTATATGTTGAAGAGACATGATTCTGCTCTACCCAATTATAAAAAGGCAACATAACAAGACCCGTTCAAAGTGGAGGAAACTGTTCTTACAATTTAGGATGAAAAGGGAAAACTAAAACTTTTAAAATAGATTATTATACCTTCTATCAAATCTTGTTCTTCCCACAGAATCAGCTGCTTCCATCACTTCAGCAACACTGATGCTGGAGATTACCTGGCCTAGGGTATCACTGTCACAAAGAATTAAGGGTTTGCAGGTTGTATTTGGCCAACTCCCTCCTTTTCTTTTGATGGTAATTTTGGGTATCCCTGCTCAGGCCATGACTGTAGCATTACTCTGCTCCCATAACCCTTTCAGACTGACAGCCAGACCTGGCAGCCCTCACAGCTAGTGAGGCAGAAGGGCACAGCCCCTCTCTGACCCACAACTCATCCTTCCAGGAATGACTTTGGGGATCTAAAGAAGGAAATGTAAAATCTTGACTCATGCAGTTCTCACTACAGGGAATAAAGGTTATTTTTTCCCCATTCAGATAGTTAAAGAGAAACAACTCTCTCAAAAACACAGAATAGTTTCTACTACTCAGAACAGTGGGTTGGGATAATTCATGTGTAAAAAAAAAAATGATGGAGAGAGCTCTCTCAAGGATGAGCCCCAGGAGGGAGGTGTGTGCTGGGAAGCAGCCAGTTCCTCGTGTCCTTCCCAAGAAAAGCATTTTCTCATCCTGACACACGCATTTTGGTACATCCACTCCCACTCAGCAAAGCCTTTGGCGGCATCCATTTTCCCTGGATATTTTACAAATGCTTATCCAGAGCCTCCCATTCTCACATGACAATAACAGCTATTCTATTTTCAGTTTAGATTTGAAAAAGGTGCCAGAGAGAAATGAGCGTGTTTCAGGTTTCAGGAAGACGAGCACCTCTGCTGGCAGCCGCTCCTTTGCTGCAGGATAGGGGATGCACTTGCCCTGTGCACTAAACTCTTGGAGAGGGAATGAGGCAGGATGTAAGTGCCTGGACTGCTGCTGGTAGTCTGGAAAGAGTTACTGCTGGGCTCAGAGGATTTCTGCCTTTCCAACAAGCTGGCCAGGGTGAAGAATGCAAGTGACGAAGCAGCATCCTGCAGGGAATGAGGGGAAAGCATTAAAAAAAAAAAAGAAAAAAGTTACAGAACTCCACCTCTTTGGCTGAAGTTCAGGATGACTACACTTTTACTGTAAGTGTTTGGTAACTCAGAGTCACATAACCCTCTCTGCCCACTTGGGG